CATATTTCTACACTTAGAACATAGATGATCAGATCCCATTTTATGACCACTTAATGCAGAAAAACCAGGTAATTCCAAAGAGTTCACTTACTTTTATTTGCCACTGTACGGCCTTTTTACCTTATTAATTTGATGAGTGGCTGACTAGTATTAAAAACATATCATGCTTTGATTTGTTGCTAATAAGAGGCTCATTCAGGCCTCCTCATCAGAGCCAGATCCTCCCCCAGAGAGGTTTAATTGAGCTGAAGGATTAACCCCACTTTGTGGTTAACGGAGAATTGTCAGTCTTGCTTTCTGTGACGGAGGCCCTGTGAGACCTACGACTGTTGTAAACGTTGCCACTGCCTCACTGTCGAAACAAGCCCGCAAGCTGCAGGAGAGTGAGAGCGTTCACTTACTGTAAATCATTAAAGCAGAGACAGATGTGTGACAGAGATGTGAGGGTAGGAGGTGGACTGGATAGGATCCAAATGAGCACGGTCTGCTTGCACGTGTGCATACTGTGGTATTGCATGGTGGAAATCTGTGTTTGGAACCACTCCACCATCTAAAAAGCATGCAAATAGCTCATAAGCTGCTGTATACACAGGTCATTTCAGCAAAGTGAGCTTTTAGAGACTTTTAGTTTAGTATTTTCCCTCCGTCTCCATCTGCACTTTTCCTGTTTTTGAACCGTCTTTCTCATTATATAACAAAACCCCTAAACAAGCTCAGTAAATGATAGTTCTGATAAACTTTTTTTTAACATCTGATAGGTTGCCAGGCTGTCCGTCATGAAGAAGAGAGCCAACAAGGTGCAAGAGGAGGAGGAGGAGGAGACCTTGTGCTGCTGGAGTATGTGAAACAGACACGAGAGCGCAGCCATGTAGCAGCCTGCTGCTGCGACTGCGAGGACCTCGATGACGCTTGCGACAGGGAGAGAGAGTTAACCCAATAACTAATGATGGATCTGTTGGTTATTTGTTTTAGGCTATTAATTGATTAATTAGAAGTTTATAAAAAAATGTCAGAAAACAGTAAAAATCCAACTCAGATACTGAAACTGCTTCATTCAGGCCTGTTTACATACATGCAGTACAACATAGAGCAGCTTATGTTGTCCAGTTTAAGCTATACAACTTTAACCAAACTTAAAAATTCACAGTATTTTTATCCTGGGCTGTACATGAAAACAAAAATAGTCCTCTATCACAGCAGATGTTTTAACTTATAATTGCAAGGAAAACATAGTTATTACTAATAATATTAAATGAACCAGGGCCTGTTATTTAATGCAATGTAGAATGAGTGTTACTGATCACACTTGTGTTCTCCCTGCTGCGACATTTAAAATATCAGCTGTATCGTTGACATTTGTTCTTAAAAAGAAGTTAATGGGTTAAAAGTTTTGCTCATATGGTGAAATTATTTTACCTTTTTTATTTGTTCAATTTTTAAACTCTGTCAGGTTCTGAAGAAGGGAGCCTCAGAAACCTGAGTCCCTATCACAAGGTGACAGAAGTTGTCACCAGACCGGAATTCGTGTGCCCTGGCTGTGGGGCGGAGCCCGGCAAAAGTGAGGACAAATAATGAGCTGAAGCTAATATTACACAAACAGTTATGATCTTTCGTGTCTTTATTGAACACACCCATTAACTGAACCTCCTTTGGCAGCAATAACCTCAAACAAGTGCTGGTCAGACCTGCACAATGTTCAGGAGGAATTTTGGACCATTCCTCCTGCAGAACTGCTTCAGCTCAGACATATTCCCGGGATGTCTGGTGTGAGCGGATCTCTTCATGTCATTCCACAGCATCTCTGCTGGATTCAGGTCTATGGTCGGGACTGGGCCACTTCACAAGATGGGTTTTCTTTGCCTGAAGTTCTGTAGTAGATTTACTTTGATGTTTAGGGTCATTGTCCTGCTGCATCGGCCAGATTCTACTGAGCGTCAGCAGGTGAACAGCCACTCGGACATAATCCGGTAAAGTACCTTGATAAACTTGGGAATTTCCCCCTTGAGGAAGTGGAGCTGTCCAGGCCCTGAGGCAGCCAAGCCCCAAATTCATGATGCTCCATCCACCCTACTTGTTGATATGCAGTTACCTTTTATAAAAAGGTAATGAAGTTAAGTATTTATTAAAAAAAAATATATATATATATATATATATATATATGGATAAGAAAAAACATGAACCACAAGCACATTAAGTCACCCCCTCCCAAACAAATGGGCTAATGTAAACATCTTACATTGAATAATAATAATAATTGTGTGTGTGTGAGTGTGTGTGAGAGAGAGAGAGAGAGAGAGAGAGAGAGAGAGAGAGATTATCAGGCTAAAAAAAAAACTCTACTAGGATTAAATTATGAATTTTTAAAAGGGGTGGGTGAGGGGGTCAACGGCACCTACTATTTTAAAAAAGAACAAAAAGCTTCATAACAGTTATTTCTATCTGAAAAAAAATAAAAATAAAATGTATTTTGCTGAGTTGACAACTTCTGTTAACAGGCAACAAGGAGAATACTTCCTGCATTTGAATCTGACACTGAGAAAACAAAGTAAGCTACATCAGTTTCTGGAGCCACTGTGGCTCAAAACCTTGTTGGGTGTATCAGAACAGGTTAGTTGAGGGCTTCCTGGATTGGGTTGACAGATTACAGTTCAAGCATGTACTTTGATGCTTTTCACACTGAAAGTAAAGTCTTGCTCATACATTTGTGCTTTCCCTACGTCACTGTTCGTTTTAGACACTGGACGCTGCTCTTCTCATAACAGCCAGTTAATCCAGATTTCAATTTATACCTGTCAACACGTCGCTGTCTCACGGGAGCGGCTCGCTGCCTCGAAAAATGCTTAAATACAGCGTCAAAGACACATAACAAATTAGCTTTAACATACCTGTACACCGTGCAGCTACATGCCGACGCTTTCCAATAAATATCGACTGAGACGATTTTCCCCCGCCGGGCTTCTCAGCGGAAGTCTCTCTCCCGGTAACGGTTGTCGTATCCGGTGTTTCTCGGAGCTACACGCTCACTGTGCCGTGGAAGTCACCACAACAACAACAGCCGGTGGTTAACCGTTCACGGCTGGGTTCAAGCGCCGGGGTTCGGGTTTTAACGTGGGGAGAGATGTCCTGCGGCTCCGCTGCCCCCAAAACTAAGCAGACAGTTTCACTCCTGACGTCACATGAGGTCGACTCTCCCCGCCCAAGACTCATTTCTTCTCCCACACCTACAGGACAACATACCCGCACTGGAGTTCATGGTAGAGTTAGATATGTGGAAGAATTCAAAACCTTTACTATATTAAAACTACAAATATAGGAATGTACGACCACTAATAGCATATTTGATATTATCTAACTATTACTATTACAATTATATTAACTGTAGTGAAGGTATAAAAAGTAAAAGTACTTCCTAAGTTTAGAGAGAAAGTGTCTCTTTAGTGGAGCTTATCCAATGTTTTTTCAATGCGTGCGTGTGTGTGTGTGTGTGTGTAGAAGTAGAAGCATAATACTCAAGTAAAGTGCAAGTACCTCTAAACTGCTTCAGTGCAGTACTTGTAAATGAACTCAGTTTCCATCACTGGATATTAGCCATACCATAATTTCCACAAAAGAGATATATAATCCCTCTAGGAAGATATTGGGACAGGGTTCTGGTTTAATAATTTAAGTCTCAACAGTGTTGTGTTTCACATGTGACAAAGGAACAAAGCACACATTTGGCTTTACTCCCATTTAGTCTTCAGCCTGTGTTTCCTATAGCAGCATACAGTGTGTATGCAGCTCCTACCAACATTAAAAATTGCATTTTGAAAAATACTGTTTTTAGTCCTTTCAGAAAAAGAGCAATGTTATCATGAATCATGAACAGTTACTTCCCAAATCTATGAAACCAGACATCAACATCTGTCCTCGTGCAGACTAGGTTTCAGCCTGCAGCTTCTCTCTGGAGTTATTACACTGAAATATATCAGACTGGACTAAACCCATGCAATTCAGTGCATTGTGCAACTTTGCTGTCAATGTTTTTGGAAAGATATATATATATATATATATATATATATAAATTAAATGTAATTAATCAACAGATAATTAATCTGCAACAATTCTAATTCATCATTTAAGTAACTAAGTAAAAATACCTAAAATTGGTTACAGCTTCCACAATATTAACATTTACTAATTTTCTTGGTCTTCTATTATAATAAATGGAATCCTTTTGGGTTGGTTGAGAAACAAAAACACACTAAAATATGTCAGCTGCTCTGGTAAACTATTATAAAAATATTTGACATTTTCTAGCCCGATTAATCAAAACAGAAATGTTTTCAGGACAAGGATTCTGGCAAGAACTTTGTTTATTAAAACAGTACATTGCAATATGGCTAAAATGTACAAAGCAGCAACCAAATTTAAACAAGTGGTGTCTTAAAGAAGTGATTTTCAGTAAGAAATGCTGAACAAAGTTATCCACTCAGACAAGGGTGATGGCAACACTGTAAACATCGAACAAGGCTTAACCGTAGTTGTGTGTCACCAACAAGTGATTAAGAATAAGGAAAGAAAGAAAATGACTAGTGTTCATGTCAGTTTTGAGATCACAGTGTAAAATGTGTCTGGTGTTTACAGAGTGAATGCACAGTACCGAGATAACCTGAGATTGTCCCACTGACCCTACGAGCAGTGAATAGAAAGAGGAAGAAGAAAAATAGAACAATACAAACAAGTGTGATTACGCATGTACAGAAGATAGGGATAAATTAGGCATGTCATCATTGTTTGTACTGCATAGTTTACATAGCGCTCCCTTCAAATTGGTCCAGAACGTGGCTATAAGTTAGTGAATAAAATATGCATTAAATATGTGACACACAATCAGCAGTATTTTCTGTACACCGGATTTGGCTCATATACAGTATTTTTAAAATTCAATGGTTATTTTTCTATTTGCAATCTAATGTACATTGCAGTTAACATATAGAAAAAAAAAATGACCATGATTACAAAAGAGAAGACAAACCTTAATAAATTTGAGTTACTGATTCTACAGTTTTTTTATTGGAAAAGATAAAAATCTAAAAAGGATAACTAAAACACAGCCTAATCTATAAGGCACATGTGCAAAAATTAAAAATGTGCAAAATTCAAATAGAGGAAATTGTTCTTAAATAATATTGATTCACTTCCCGAGGATAAAACAGAAGCAAGAACTATTTACAGTAGTTCACCTGATGTGGCACAAGGTTCATCAGAATATAGTAAGGCACATGAGGAAAGAGTTTTCTCAAATCCAATGCCACTGTTTAAGGAAGAGAGTGCAAACAAAGCAGCAATGGGAACTGACAATAGCACCCTACAGAAATCTAAACCCACTGCTGCGTCTGCGGCCGACTCTGATGTAACTCTGTCCTCCCAGCAAGTCGGTCCGCAGCTTTAAAAACATCCTGGCACCTGCTGCCCCACCAAAGGCTTTGGGATGTGTAACCCCTGGCTACACATGGCATGTCAGGGGGTCTGGGGATGTCTACATGGCAACATCACTGGATACCAGAGACTTCCTCAGAGGAAATTGAGTGCTACGGTTCTTTCTTTGCGCTATAGGGCCGAAGCGAGGCGTCGTGTAGTCGCCAGGTGTGCAGCATCACTGCGGCGCTGCCGTTCGGTTGGCCATAGCAAAGTTTTGTTGCAGCACCATGAGAGAACTGCGGAGCTGTGAGGAAAAGAAGAACTGACTCAGCAGCTAGAACACCTAGACAAGTAGACATTTATATGATGGACTCCTGCTGGTTAAATAGAACAGTAACAGCTGCATGTCTCTGCTTTCTCTGAGGGAGAATGAGTACAACTAATGTTCTCTTTCAGCCTCATTATTCAACACAATACACCCAAAGCTCTTCCAAATCATCACCTTTACGGAACTGAACTCATTTCTATGTTAATCTGCAGCTGACTGCAACACATCCATCCTTAATAAACTATTTCCAATTGTCCCTACAATTAAAATCCAGTGGCTTCTCATTTAACCCTTCCTGGTTTAAAGTTGTAATCCTTAAAGTTTTCATGAAACCAAACATCACTTGATACAATGTATGTTCAGCATTTTTTCCTGAAATAATCATTCAGTGTATTTACATGCAGTATTTATCTTTCTATATAGTAGTTTTGATTGCAAGTGGTGGAGTCTGCTATTCCTGAGCTGGATTTAGATCGTCCAACTATGTACTGTTATAATTCTGACAAAGCAGCGGTGTTGCCAAATTACACAGGACTGAAATCATAAGGATAACAACTCCAATTTAGAAATCACCGATGTCTTCCTGCTTCCTACTTGCATTAATGTTCACACTGGTCTACCCCTGTGTGTCTGCATTCTCTGAATGCAGAAAACATTTAATAACAAACGATGAGCCACTCAAGACAGGAGCGTACTATAAAACTTTTAGAATTCTGACCGTGAAAAGACTCAGCATTACACATTTAACGGCTGACCTCTGAATATTTCATAGGTAGACGGCACCCTGCTGTCAGATCCATCTGGATCTCGTCTTTTTTCCATGGCTTTCTCCAAATTCCACTCATAAAAAATCTCAAATTTGTGATATAACTTTAACAATTACAAGTACAGAAGCTTAATCATAAGGCAACAGATTTAAATAAACAAGCACATACACACAACGAGATAATATGTGCCATGATGAAGTGCATTAATTAAGTGTACAATCATGGCTACAGCCAGACTTTTTAATGATGTAGTACATTCCCTTAAAATCAGACAGACCTACCTTTTCTAATAGGTTGATGGAGTCCTGCAGTACAGTTTTCAGTAGGAGCATCTCCTCTCTGGTCTTGAACCCAGGTCCCTGTCTGGGACCATATTCAGGGACCAAACTGTCAAACAACATACAAAAAAAAGAGAGGGCAATTATTCTGATGTGCAATATAAGATATTTACTTTTGCTACATAAAAAGGAGGAAAAGAAAAAAAGAAAAAAAAACAGAAGCAGAAATAAAGTGAAGGAAATGTAAGAGGAGGAGAGCAGAGGAGCGCTGATGCAAGATTATGTCACTTACATAACCACATTTACTGAGGCTGATAAACAGGCAGTTTTAACACAGTGAGTCATTGGAACAAAAGCTCTCTTGCATGTGGGCTGCTTAAACACCACACACAAAAATATGGAGGAAGACTAACCCCTTCCCCCTCTCCACCCACACAAGGACTTCTGCTTTCTGAGCAATCATGCCAACTACCAGTATAATTACTGTCGATCAAAAGTAGCAGTAGAAGACGGTTGTCTGACCTGGCCTCGCTCCTCTCCCTCAGCCGATGCTTCGTGCTCAGGTACATGCGGTGGGCTACATCCTCCATGGCCCACAACTTGAAAAACAGGCCCAGATTCAGCATGGTCAGAATCAGCAAACTGCAAGAGACAGAGAAAAGCAACGAGAAATTACCACACAACCTTTAGACATAATGACTTTTATCCACCCAAGGCAGTTTGTCATTTTGGACAACATCCATGTTAGATTTTGCATCGCAGCGGTCGACAGTTCTCAGTTGTTTTGAAAATACAAGCACAATTTCCATTTATCATATACAATACAAACCATATTGTTTATGTTTTCAGATTTTTAACTTACATCAGACTCATCCCAAGTACTATCGTGGTGGTGTTCCATCTGTGCGGGCCTTTCATTTCCATGGGGCCTGAAATACATTAGGACAGATCAATAAATGACACATTTTTTCCTTCAATGCTGGCTATTTGAAAACAAACCCAGAGTTGCAGTTAATATGAGAAAGTTTTGCACTAGTTTGCAACATTTTTCTGGTTACAAGCCATTTCCTCCCAGTCGTATTCAAGATTTTGCAACAGCTTGAGATATAAATGTTGCCGTTTTCTGGGTGTGTCAAAGAGTTTGACTGGTTAAGACGGCGATGTATATCTCCTGCGATCGATGCCTCTGATCTTCAGCCGTTACAGGAGTAGCTGCTGTCTCACATGTAGTCTCCACTATACACCTTTGCTTTCAAGCCTTTGAGCATTCCTTCCTGTCGTAGCAGCAGCTGTTACATGTGCAGAACAAGTGAACGTTTCCTACACCACAGTCTCCTTTTGAACATTTTCAGACATTTTGACTGTGCTGAAGGTCTTGAGTGTTCATAGTTTACTGCAGTCACATATTTGCGAAACTGAAATTTGCAGAAAAAACTATTTTGGCTTCACTAAATACCATTTGCACTGGAGACATCACAACTGAAAGTGTTCAAATCTCAGCTAAGCAGCCCTAAAAAAGGTATAGTTAAACATTTTAGTTAGAAAGTATAGGCGTTTTTGTCGAGTTACATGAGAGGAGTGATACCTCTTGAAGATGTAGCCCGGTGTGAATTAGCGTAGCTTAGCATAAAGACTGGAAACAGAAGGAAGCTCGCTAACATGTTATATCTTAACCCTAACTGTTTCCCCCTGCTTCCAGTCTTTATGCTAAGCTACGCTGAGCTGTCCTAACCATCTCCTGGCTGTAGCTTCATATTTAATAGAGAGATGTGAGACTGGCATTAATCTTCTCATCCAAGTCTTGTCAAGAAAGCAAATAAGCATATTTCCCAAATTGTTGAAATGTTCATTCAAAGTGGTAATTAAAGATGTCATGTACCCAAGGTGCCATCCCTGTGTTGTTCTGGGTCTTGCCCATACTGCTTGTTGGGTTTCATGTGCTCTGGCAGAGTCCGGCTGTAAGTCCGCCTCCTCCTCCGAAGTCCACCCATCTTCCCAGAATCACCGCCTCCTTGGTTCATCTCTGCTTCCTCCTCCAGCAGTTCTGTTTCTGTTTCGCATCATCACACGGCCACAAAGAGATAAAACGCAAAAATGGGACAGAATCAGGCGTTAACACAATAAAAACACCACGTGGTTTCAAGATCAAAAAAAAGGAATCAACGTTCCTAAACGCCATTTGCTCAACGGGTGGGTCAACCCTTTCAAAAATGTATTTAATTGATAAAGGCTCAGTACGCCATGCACTTAAAATTGATTTCAGTCTGAAGCAGGCAACAACGCCCATTTTACAGCAAACGCAGCTGTAATATGATTCACTGCGGCAGAGCCTGACGTGTGCTGGAGGAAACAGTTCATATCAGATCAGAGATAAAATGAACCATGGGCTAAGGAAAGTAGACGGGGAAGTGCTCTCCACGGCGTGCGAACAGGGCTTTCTACTCACCCAGCTGTCTGAAATAATCCTGTATGCCGCTCCAGGAGTTTTTAGTGATAAAGGACTTGACCAGTCCCCATGGCTGCTTCTTGTACTTCACATCAGTGTAGACCCTAACAGCACAACAGAAGCTTTAAATGTCAGGGATTTAGAAAATATAAAAGTCAACAGATAAACTGACTAATACCTTACCTTAGTCGACATTTCCGCTTCGAGCTACTTATGATGTAGTATCGGTTTTGAGTGTAGAAGTAATCGTGATAGGGAACGTCATGAGTGTACACCTCAGACTCCACGTGGTAATACTGACCCTCCCTGGACTCTTTGTACAGCGTCTGAAAAAGGTAAATGGAGAAGAAAATAAACGGCGAGCCATAATTCACACAGGAACATGTTTATTCATCCATTCAAGCGCACACACCCCAACTCCCGCTGATGTAAACACACCTGGTTCTCTGTAGCGGTGGAGAACTTGCCAATCAGAGGGTTGCTGATGGTTATTGTGTAGTTCAGACTCCGCTTCCTGTTTCCGGAGGCATCCTTTTGCCAGGCATTAAAGCTGGCATCTAAAACAAAAAACAAAAACAAAAAAACACAAAAGGGCCACAAATGACAGGTTTGATTATCTGGAACTGGCGGGGAAATAAGTTTTGGGAACAGGAGAATAAAAGAATGGGTCTTACTGGTTATCTTCCTGACGTTCATAAACCTGCGGATGAAGCTGGAGTCGCTGAAGAGCAGCTCGAACATTTTGCCGGCGCTGACGTGGAAGACTCTGTTTAAATAGAGTCGACCCTGCATCTGGGACTGTCCCATTTGCTCCTCCACTGATAAACCCAAAAGGACAGAGGAAGGGGAGAGTCTTAAAATACAAAATACATGCGCTCAACCATCCTCCAGTGCCTGGGTTGTTTTTTTTTTGTTTTTTTGTTTTTTTTGTTTTTTTATTCCAACCTTCTTCCATGCTGTCTGAACCGCTCTGCTCGGAAACGCCGTTCTCATTGGCGTTGAGGTCAAGAAAAAGCGAGGAGCGCTTGGAAACCCGTTCCGAAGCGGCGCGGTCCAGCGACGGGACAGGACTGCGCCGCATTGACGGGGTGTTGCGAGAATTATCCTAGAGGGAGATATGAAGAAGAAGAAGAAAAAAAAAAATGAGCTGGGGAAAAACATTTAGATATACACAAAACGCACAGTGAAATTATAAAATTATTATTTTAAATACCGCATTGGCCGAGCTCTGTGAGCCGAGAGGGGAGGGCAGGTCTTCCCCAACAGGCGTGGAGGACTCTAAAGGCCCATGCTCCACCACAGGCAGGCGAAGGGAGGGGGTCCGCTCCAGCTTCCCTAGACCATCATCACCACCAGGCCTCACAGCCGGGCTGCAGGCGAACAAACAGGGTGCTGTTAAATTATATCCCCCACCCACGCATTGTTCTGTGCGACTATGGGAGAGCAGGTGGGTGCGAGTGTGCTCACCTGGTGTGCATGCTTGATTCTGTTGATATCTGTAAGCTCTCCATGTCTTCATGGTTCAGGCCCAGGTCATGCCCATAATGCTGTTTAACCATCTGCAAAAACTCCAAGCAGGTCAGAGTCCCTGAAAGTGTGGGGGGGGGTGGGGGTTGGGGGTTGAGGAGAGTTCACAACAGGGTTTGGAAATGGAATAACTTGTTTGGAAATCAGCCCGTGTAGAGATCTCTTCCTCTTTCCCAATAAGAACTCTGCTTTGGCAGATACACAAACTGTAATGTCAACACAAAACAAGACAAAAAAAAAAAAATGTTGTGGCTTCATGTAACCTGGACACCTCCACACAGTATAATCAGTCTTACCTCCCTGCCTGACATCCAACCTACAAACCTTATTGTCTCTCTGAACCGCTCAGATACTATCTTACATTTTTCTGTTAACCCTCACCAGACAAGAGCGGCTCAGTATTAGAACCATCACCAAAAATAATCCATCTCTGAAAAAAAATATATAGCTTACAATGAAATAAATACAGCTACGGACACAGGTGTTCAGAGGAAATATCCAGTACCGTCAGTTTTGACAAGATCACCAAAAACAAGCAAAGCTGCTCCAAGTCGTGATAAAGACGGTCAGTGTTATTATAGGCGTGTTCATTCAGACGGATAATTAAGACGTTTTTTTTTATCACCATATGGAACCGCGAATGGTGTCAGAGCTCATCTAAAGCCGAGAAAACGTGTGAGATCCATTTACACAGGCTTCACTTACTTGGACATTTCCCCACAGCTGCGAGCTCTAAGTGGCTGTCACACAGTTGATCTGTAACCTGGACGCACCGCGCTCCCTCACATTCAGGAAGTCCTGGATTTTAGCGAGTTCGGGGGCGTAGAGACGCGTCGCACAGATTTACACCGACATAAAAAAAAAGAAAAGAAAAAAAAAAAAAAGGTAAATAAAAGCTCGTTTCCGTCTGTCGAAAGTCCGGTTCACCGGCGGCCCAGACGCCCGGAGGAGCTCCTGCGTTTTGTTGTGCTTCAGCTGACAGATTCAGTAGCTACTACCGACACAAGCCGAGCGTCAAGTGCGCTCCGTGCGTTTGGAGGGCAGGCCGTCAATGCAAATCAGCCCTTAAAGCCACACCTGGAGAGGTCAATGAACTTTACGCGGAGATGTTTTTATACAAGTGTTTGTGCTCCGGATCCCAGCAGACCCTCAGCCCTGTGGGAAGGCTGCCATAGTGCCTGTCTATACGAGGTGTCTACTGTAGGCAGCTATAGAGATCAAATTAAAAGAAGCAATGAAGGCCAGTCGTTTCTCGTCATCATCAGTATCGACAGAAAATAAAGGCACTGCTGTTCGGCGTGTCCTCTTAAAACATTCTTTGATGTGTAAATACTGCTTCTATATAAAGTTAATATTTTCTGTTTATTTATATACTATCCATTTACTCCTACAATGCAAAGAGTTGCACTGCACTGTCTGACTCTTAAGCCTCTACACATCAGCTGACACTTTATTAAAAAGTTAACTTCAAGGTTTTCAACATCAACATCAAATCCCATTTTTTATACTGTGTTTGGTATGGTATTCAGGATTCATGCAATACGTTTACATTCTATAATCCTATGGCAAAACACAGAGGGGCTTTTATTGTGAAGCAGCCTCATGAAATGCAATGTACACTATATGTCACAGAGGTTAACACACTCCCAACTACCTCACCTGAAATTTCAGTTGCTTTCATCATCTACAGTTCATCGTACATCTCAAGTGCTTTTACTCTATTACTCTTTAAAGTTCACCTGGCTTTCGGTTTTTATTCTTCCAAATGTTATTTCGACTACACTCAGCGTTTTACGACTTACACATCAGCTATAAGTGGCGCACAGACTTCAAACTACCTCTGGCACAGCTTATCTCCCATTTCATATCTCACACTTTAAATGACAGCTGCTTTCAGGTCTGACTCCTCGGCTGAGACTTTTCGCTGTTTTCATCTCTTACTCTTCGGTTCGGCCTGATTTCACTTCTCATTCTTCAACATCTTTCAGTGCTTTTTACATCCAATCTGACATTTCACCTCCCTATGAGGAGTAAGACATTTCAAACCTGGTTCAAGCAAGTGGTTCAACTTAAGCTGCAACTGGCGTACTGCATCTCACGTGTGAATAATATTTTAGGACATTTGGACTTGTGTTGAACACACTTCCATTTTCAAAGTACTCTTACCGTGGTTTATTCTTCCTTATCTATTTACTTTTGCAGCACAGAGATTGGGGTAAAAGGTGGCTAAGCTGAGCTCTAGTGGGTTTTATTTTGAACTGAATCCCTGACACACCTAGGTAAATTATTCCAAACGCAGTACATCAGTATATTGAGCAATAAATAAAAAAAACATGTGTCTGTTGGAGCCATGAGCAAATCATGCCTCTCTGTGCAGAGCGGCACTGATAACCTCAAAAAGGAAGACAGACTGTGGTCAGGGCAGCGAGTTTTGTACTCTGGACCGATCAGATAAGTGCTGCAAAACGGGGTAAAGTCGCAGACCTGCTGTTGCTCTGGGAGGCATTTAGTCACAGTTCAGTTAAGGTGCTGGATAACTCAAAGTCTGCTTCATAAAAATCACTAGATTACTGCTGTCAGATGTGTGGTATGAAAGGACAGCTGGTCTTGTGGAGAGCGTTGTTCTTTACACATGTGAATAAGGTATGAAGAAGGGATTATTATTGGACCTATGGACATTGTACTGATGAGTGAAGTGGAGCAGGGCTTTTTTTTTACCTGGTTCAACAGTGTGTTTTGCCACATGTGGAAAACACTTCGGTAGCTTTTCTCCCTCGCAGAGAAGGAGGTGAAGAAGAACTGAGGGTGAACACAAAAAGGGAGATAAATAGTAATTCAACGATATGTTGATCAGACGGGAGATAAGATCTGATGGACTGCTCTTTTGCTATCACAATACACACCTTCTCTGTGCTCATGCTGATCTGGATGGCATTGGGAATCAGCCGAGCTGTTTTCTCTCTGGTCATAGTCACGATGTCTCTCAGCTTCAGTGTGATCTATAAATAAATAAATAAATAAATAAAAAGAGGTAAAGGTTACAGCAGTTAGTGCACACATGCTAATCAAAGACTGCCATAAAAAGAAAAAAAAAAAAATCCACCTTTAGATACCATTACACTGTCAGATAAATCCTCCCACGCTAATGAGTTATTTTGGTGATCTTGTAATGACTTAGCAACTCCCAAGAGGAGCTGTGGACTGCAGTGCTCACAGCAATGAGTTAACCAGCCTCTGTTGTTGGCACATGGCTGACTGATGCTGCCACAAGTGTAGCAATTAGTGAATCCTCCGTGTTATTTTTCCTTTTGTATCTCGGCAGTCTGTCTGTGTGTAATGTCCTGTAATCTGTTGCACATGGTTGCGAACTGTTGGATTTTAAAAAAAAAAAAAAAAAAAAAAAAAAAGGGTCTCACCGTTTCTTTTGGAAAAGACATTTCATCAGCGTCACCCTCTCTAATTCTTGGCTGGATATTTGTGTCAAAGAAATTACAGATTCAAAAAGGGAGCTCAAAAACTCACGATTTATACAAGGTAATACTGTTTTAACATGGTGTTTTAAGGTGGATTTTTCCTTTAAATAAGATATATATCTGGAATTGGAAGTAAAAACCTGTCAAAACGCTTTTTAAATCATTTTATTCTTATTGAAATTCATATATATTAAGGAGGAGGAATGCACGATCAGCTGAAGTTCGATATTTCCGTATTTTGTTGTCATTTCCACATGTTACATTGATGAGTAGACAGTGTGCTCCTTAACTGTGCACCTCTTCCTCCTCCTCCTCCCACTGTCTTATTACCTTCGTTCCCCAAAACACATTGCTGTAGAAACAGAGCCAGTTCTCTGAGAGGTAGAGGCGTCCCTGAAGGAGGATGTCCCGCTGGAGGGCACATGGGTAGTCTGAGGAAAAATGTACAGGGCAGCATCCATACAAATGAGAGCGCCTGCGGTGTTCTGTGACATACTATATTTATTAAACAGGTCACCCTAGTAGATACTGCAGAATAAGGACTACAATTACTCAACAAGCGGATTCTGTGCACTCAGCAATGCATCATATGTAAAATTAAATACTCCAGTGCAAGTACCTCAATACTGTTTATAAGTAAAGTACTTTAGCAAATGTTACTTTCCACTTCTGATGACAGATTTTTTCTTCTAAACTGTGCGAGTCCTGGAGCTCAAACTATCTACAGCTGAAATCTAAATGTAGAAATTACCTACTAATTTTATTTGTGGCTTTTCATGTGAAAAGGCGAGCAATGATGCTAAAGGAGTATTAACTTCCCATTAAGATGATATCAATTTCCATTACCTCAAAACACCGGCATTAAGTGAATTTTATTTTTCCTTTTGAATCTTTTCAACCCCACAGGTCCATTATTGCAACTGGTGTCGAGCAGCTGGTTATTGCTTCACTGAGAAGATTATTACTCTTCACGCTCTTCAAGCTCGTGCCAAAACCTTTTCGGTTTCCAGAGACAGCAGCTGCGTCACAGGGTGTTTTGTGTAACAAGATCACATCGCCCATTTTCCATTTAATGCAACAGTGAACCCATAAAAACACGGAGCTTCGACTTGAATATTTTACTTTTATCACCGATGAAACACTGACGGATGTAGGTATATGACAATATATGGGATTTTGTCACAAAGCGTAGGAAAATGTTCTTTAAATATATATTAAAAAGGGGGAAATTTAAGNTTTTATCACCGATGAAACACTGACGGATGTAGGTATATGAGAATATATGGGATTTTGTCACAAAGCGTAGGAAAATGTTATAAACATTGGGAACATCAGAGTATTACAGATTGTATTTTTATGGCATATTAGAATATCAGCATCTGAACTGATCAAACTAATTCCTGGCCTTCACAACTCACCCACTATGAGTCTCTCCGACTCCGGCAGCTCTTTGAACAGCTTCTTAACCTCGTCCCACCTCTGTTTGTAGGTGACCAGAGGAGTCTGAGGCGCTGCTAGACACTGTCCCTGAGGATCAGAGCTCTGGTGGTGGAGGAGAGGTGAACATTACCGACACAGGTACATGAATGCAGCATTTGTCAAGTTCAAACGCCTCAGGAGTATTTGTTCTGTCTTTGCGCAGGGAACACAAACAAAAATGATAAATGTGTGTAATGTCGGGGCAGAGAGAATAAAAAGAGCACGTTTGACAAAGTATTAAGAAGTCTGTGCGCATGATAAACGGCATTAGTAGCCTTGTGGGCTTTGCATCAGAGAGGAAACCGCAATCCAACTTGTAGGAGGTTAAACACGGTGAAATAAAGCTGAGCCACAAGAGGGCAGTCAAAGGTTTTTCCATTTCGTAGTTCATTATTAGCTCCACTGGGACTGCATGGTTTGAGTGAATTGTATTTAAGATCCAATATAAAATGTGATATACAAGCAAAATGCTTGATTTCATGAAGCGGCAGTGGCTTCATGTGAACTGGGTCAGTGCGGTGCTTTACCTCTCCTTCATCAGAGCTCAACCTCTCATCAGCCAGGGATGTTGTCTCATCTGTAACGTCACCACTGCCCACGCCTGACTGGTTGGATACCTGGTCCATCTGCTCTGCTGCTCTGCTCAGATTTTAAAAAATAATAATAATAATAATAATTTTTTTTTATTACATTAAGGAAAAAGGCATCATTTCAACTTTGCTGCAGATAAACAGTTCCCACGTGGCTTCACATGCAGAAGCTGGGTCTGTTGAGAGTTGAACTTTAAGACCATGATCTGAAACCTCGGCCTTGAATGTCATCTAACAGGGAAATCCAGCAGCACCACAGGAGGAAAGTCATTATCACTGCACCAGAACTGGTTTGACTGGGAGGATTACTGAAGGAGCTCAGTCATGCCAGTGAACAGAAACCTTTCATGCACTCATGACTACCAGTACAGACACCCGCGATAAGTTGTGAAACAGAAAAGCATCGCAAAAAAAAAAAAAAGAACATGTTTGCGCCACGGAGTGAAAACACTTTGTAAGAAATTGTATTAGCTTCGCTTAAAACAACAGTGACGCCTTAATCTCTCGGTCGGTTCGCTGTTAGATTGAAAAGACTGATATAAATATAAATGTTCAATCTTGTCAAACGAAATCAAGATAATAAAAGATTACTATCACATGTGTAAAAGCTGTCACTCGTGAAGCTAAATACTTCTCACGCACAGCGCCATACTCGCACACGGTGTGCTGTGGCTTCAGCATGTGTCAACATGCGGGTTTGTCTGACTCAAAGCTGCTGCTCTCAGTCACTTACCTGGCACGGAGCGGACCCAGGATTTCTGTTCTCAATGTGCCACCGAGATTTCAATTTTTTATATATATATTTTAAATTAAGCAAACAAGTAGACGCTGTTTGTCCCACGCAGCTCTGGAGCTCTGTTGATGGGTGATGTGTGCTGCAGCTGCATCTCATCCATGGGACATACCTCAGGGGAGTTGTCACCTCATTGTTGACGCTCATTGGTTTTCGTGAATCAAGTTAAGGACAAAATGACCTCTCCCTTTATTAATTCACGAGACGCACAGGAGGCTTGACTCTAATTATAGGCATGTACTTTTCATTCCAAGCATTCACAGGTGAGCAAACTCACCTGTGTGTGATGTGTTTTCTTTTCATGGAATCCGTTTTTATTAACAATTGCAAAATGTATTTAAAGACACATTAAGTCATGAATTGCAAACACTAAAATAAGCTGAGATCTAAAAAAAACAAACAAACAACTAATTAAAGTAGTTAAATCTATTTTTGTAAAGAACCGTACAGGCAGGGTGCAGGAGACTCTACAGTATGTGTGTTATGCAGAGAGACCAGTTCGACAGCATGGTTAGAAACTTAGAGGTCAAACAGGCAAACACACACACACACACACACACACACACACATTATTCTTTTTCCCCATGTTTTAATTCTTTTGGAGTAACATGATGAAAGTATTGGACAGCAGAAGGCCAGAGTCTGACTCTTACACATTCACACGGCAAATTACACAACACAGCACAGCATGAAACACAACCATAAAAACAAAAAAAAGAGAGAACAACAAAGCCTTTACGTCAAAATGCTGGCAATAAATAGACTGATCTTATTAAATTTATATTCAATACTCTTCTGTACAGATGGGTCTATGAATTACAATACATCAACCGAACAATCCTCTTCAGGAAGAGCAACACGGCTACACACACAGAAATCATGTAAACAGAGAAAGGAAGAAACGGGGTGAAGAGATCCCCCTTTCATACACGCATTAAATCCACACACACACACACACACACACACACACACACACACACACACACACACACACACACACAATCAATGACCATGCAGAGGATCCAGAGTAAGCCGATATGAGGCAACAAATAATTATGAATACAGTACATCTTTCTCTTTTCCCTCCACATGAAATTGCACACACACACGCACACACTCACACACACAATCACCCACAAAGGGAGCACAGGGGGAGCACACGGGTTTAGAGAATACGAGCAGGTGGAATGTGATTCTGCGGTGGAGGGGTCCGAGATGAAAACTGGAAAGGTTGTGAGAGGTGGGAGCTCTATTCCTCCAGCGTACGGAAGGCGTTCTGCATGTCCTCCACCAGCTGAGCGTACTCGGCCTTGATCTTAGCCTCGCCGTCCTTCACTGGGTCCTGTGCGGACACAGAGATACATGCTTAGAACGGGAACAGCGGACTATGTGCCTGATCTATGGTGCTTAAACTACGGCCTGCATTCTCACTGTGTTCCACAGATATCAGTTCTTCACTTTAGGAAGGAGATGGACAAAAAAATACACTGTTGTTTCCTCCTGGAATGATGTGCAGAATCATTTGAAATAGTCAGAGCTGATTAGTTTTGGTTTGTTTGAATTTAACTTTATTTTTCTGCTGTGGAAACTATTGCATTTTGCATCTTATGCTCCTTTGCAGCATGTGACATGAGTCATCCGAGCCTGTTTATGTTATTTGTGCTTATTCTTGTAATAATGTTTCTATGTAGCCCCCTAGAGAGATTTCTACCTATTTAAATAAAGTAAAAATGGAAAAAGAAAATCTGATGGGTGGGGGTTATTTCCATAAATAATTAAAGCATTGCACGGTAAAATTAACTTCCCACCTATTTAGTATGATTGTTTCAACCCTTAAGTCACTCCCTCACAGATACAGTCCATACAGTAACTCGTTCTCTAATGTATAAACAGACTTAATGTATATTATAAAACAAGATTATAATACGAAGATAAGGCAAAAGTCAATAAAAATGTCCAGTTTAGCTAATAATTAATCCGTTGTTCTCAGCCTTTTTACTCTGTGACTCCTGCAGAGATGAATGCTTCAAATAAAATAAAGAATTTCCTTTTTCTTTCGAGTCTTAGGACTTCACAACGATTGTATATTAAACATAAGAGAAAAAAAACCAAACAGACATATTAGGGTGAGCGCCACTAAATTAACACATAAGGCAGAGGACATACCTTGAATTTCATTGAGCTGATCCTATAGAGGATTTCTCCCATGTGCTCCCTGATCATGGCCCAGGTGATCTTGTTGTCGCTCTGAGCTGTGGTCTCCACCGCGTGCCGGGCCATGTCGTAGAAAGAAATCATGTTGGAGAGAATGCCCACTGTCTTATAGAAGGGACAGAACCTGAAGAGATATGCAAGAAGTCAGTTATCGTTATCAGTGATCACGAGATTAAATCAGCAGTTCTGTCAAATGTTTTAATCCATTATGTCTATTTAGGACTAATCAGATTTATAGTGACAAAAATACTCAATAGTCGTGTTTAACTTTTATTTCTACATCAATTTGAGAGTGGGATGAACAGTAAGTGAGTTTGTGCTACACGTGGTACAATGTTACCTGTCGTAAGGAGTGTAACCGTTCTGCTGCAGGAAGTCGTCCTTGATCAGTTTGGCCACTTCCAGGGTGATTTTATCTGATTCTGCCAGTGATGCCTGTTAAAGAGTGATAATCAAGCCACCAGCTGCTTTACAACATTATCCAATCATTGATGCAAAACAGTGATGACAACACTGCCACCGACTTTAAGCTGAATTACCTTTCCAACAAGCTGCACGATCTCAGCCAGGTCCTCCTCCTCCTGCAGGATCTCCTTGGCCTTGGTACGCAGCGGCACAAATTCAGGGAAGTGCTTGTCGTAATACTCATCCAGCGCACGGGTGTATTTGCTGTAGCTGATCAGCCAGTTCACAGAAGGGAAGTGCTTCCTCTGAGCCAGCTTCTTATCCAGACCCCAGAACACCTGAGAGAAGAAAACATGGGGTCATAACTACCAACAACCAACAAAACTGATCTACTTCATTAGAGTGGCAGAGTTTGATCATTTACCTGTACAATACCAAGTGTGGCTGAAGTAACGGGGTCAGAGAAGTCACCACCAGGAGGTGACACACTGAAAAAAAAACCCCCAAAAAATACCAAAACATTATTCATTTATTTTAGGTTGTAGGCCCGCCAGTTACAGTCCACAAAACATGCGCAGAGTAATGTCTCCCTCTAGTGACGTGAAGCTGTACTCACGCTCCAACAATGCTGACGCTGCCCTCTCTCTCAGGGTTGCCCAGGCACTTCACCCTGCCAGCACGCTCGTAGAAGGAGGCGAGACGAGCGCCCAGGTAAGCAGGATAACCACTGTCTGTGGGCAGGTACAAAAAATATATATATACCACGTCTGTATACACAGTTCACAGCCCTTCTGCTTTCTAGATGTAAGACAATTGAACACTGCACCGCCGTACTGGTTTTTCTCTACCAAAAACTAGCTCCACTTGATGGGGGAAATTCAAGCATTAAAAATTGAAACGTAGAGGAACCTGGTGGTGCATTCAGCTGATGGATGGGCTTCATATTTCACCGCAAATTCAAATGCTCACGATAGGATTTACACTTGTGCGATGATCCTGACTATTAAATGAAATTGCCGCGTTAACCTCAGACACGCAGCATTGTGCCTTTCAATACGGAGGTTCATTGCAGTGCATTTATCACCCAGCTGGAAGGAGAGCTGAGTAATTATTATTTTCACTAAAGATTAATCTGTAGTCAAAAAATACACTGAGAAAACCTGCATATAGCATACCTAAACAATTAATTGTTGCAGATTAACTTTTGATTAATCAATCAACTAATCAAGTATTGGTCTAATCCTTTCAGCTATACCTTGAGGAGCAGATTATACAACCTCGTGCCATTTGACGGTTCAGCTAAAAGGTTTAAGTTGTAAGCATCATCTTCAGTTAACAGGATCTTCCTGTAATCCACTAAATGCGTTGTTTTTTCTGACATTGATATGAGAAGTCGAAGGGAGAGTGTTTTGGTTTGTTGTGCGAGTCACTGCCACAGAAAATGATCACTAGAAGTATTTATACAAAACTCATTTCCTGTAATCCAGTGTGAAGTTTGAGTCTGATGCCCAACCTTTAACTATCTTTCATCACCCTGTGCTAGAAATTCAGCTCAGAAGCACCAATATGCCATTAACCTTTATTACACTTTGCTATCTCCGGGAGACCCCGAACTTACCAGCAGGCATCTCCGCCAGACGGCCAGAAATCTCCCTGAGGGCCTCGGCCCAACGGGAGGTAGAGTCGGCCATCATGCTCACATTGTATCCCATGTCTCTGAAGTACTCAGACAGTGTGATTCCTGCCAAAACAAACCCAGTGAGTACACACTGTTCATGTGAGCTAAGAAGCAATCAGAATGAGAGTGAATGAGTCATCCGTTAACTCACGCTATTGATTATTTTTTATTGTATTCTTTTAGCACTTCATTGTTCCGTGATTGGATAAAGATGACCCTCTGAGTATGCTTAAAGTGTATTTCACACTTCTTGACGGTTACCTGTGTAGATGGAGGCTTCTCTGGCAGCTACAGGCATGTTGGAGGTGTTGGCCACCAGCGCTGTTCTCTTCATGATGCTCTCCGTCTTCCCATCCACCTCCATGGTCAGCTGTTGGCCAGACGACAATGTCAGTTACCCTGAAAGTCACTATCATCAGTATAAAAGGCAAGCGGCATGTCTACCCACCTCGGGGAAGTCTCGCAGTACTTCTGACATCTCGTTACCTCGCTCCCCGCAGCCTACGTAGATGATGACATCGCTGTTGGAGTACTTGGACAGGGACTGGGAGATGACAGTCTTACCACAACCAAAGGCTCCTGGGATGGCTGTTGTTCCTCCCTGCACACATCTTCGAAAAGAGAAGAGGGGAAAAATGAGTCATAAAAAGCCGCAAGTGAAAAGATTAAAAGATTAAAAGGTGGACGTGGGACTCACGGGAAAAGGGCGTCCA